TATATATGAGAAGGGTTTTCTCGACACTCAATGCAAACCCTCCGGTGTTGGTTACAAGATTTTCTCGACACTCAAATTACATATATCGGAGATTTGGAGATCAGTACTAGTATATCTGTATATGTCATGAACACAATTTATTGCGCCATGTTTTTTTATATATGTTCTTTGTCATTATAACGATCACTTATACTTGTATAATATTGATCAATCAATCCAAAATAAATTTATAAATTTTTCTTTGTTAGCAATAGCAGAGAACAAAGTTTGAATCCCACCAATAACCAAATAAATAAAAAATAAAAAATAAAAAATAAAAAATGAAGCATGCCTGGATTATCCTTGTTGCGGGCACTAGTGTACAAGCAGAGTTAATACTCATTTTGGTCCCTCGACAATTAATTCGTACAAGCATTTACGGACATGTCCAAAATTTTACTTTCTCCTAGTATCTAGCGCAAGAATAACGAGTGACCCTTAAATTTAGAATTCAAACTTATATTCACAATTTTGTTAGCCATGTTCATGCCATAGTTTTGCATATTTATTGTAAAGCAAGTAAATCGTGTTTTAAAAAACAAATAATAAAAAATTAATGCATGTTTTAATTTCAATAGCTTAGTTGAGCTCCCATTTTCTACAACACATTATTTCTTTACTCGCTCTTCAAGTTTGATTTTTTTTTTTTTTTTTTATTCAACAAGATCCTTATTTTGAGGGGAAAAAAAAAAGAGGAAAAAAACTCATACACACAATAAGATTAGTGTATGATAGTTTTATCTGGGAACTTAATTAAGTGGGGTGGGCTGTAATAACGAATGAATTAATTAGTATTAGTAATTTTTTTTTTTTTGGTGGTAAATTAGTAACTAGTAATTAAATTGTTGAATTGACATTGCATGAAAGTATTACATGGAATGTCCTTGACAAATGAGAATAGTTAGGGTTCATTTTGAGCTTGGTATATACATATGGTTAAAATGAGTGAATGTTACAAGGAACAAAAAATTAATATTATAGTTCATCTCGATCGTTTTTCTAGTCTAACAAAAAAAAAAAACCTATATTGCTTCAAAATCTCCATCTTATTCCCTACTTAAAAGGATGAGGGAGGCGATTCATAACACTTTAAGCTAGGCATTGAAATATATACTGGAATATAAATTTATTACTAACAAACTAAAATTTAATTTAGTGAAAAATTATGGCCTTCTTTAGTAAATAACTTTTTGGATTAGTTTTAGCTGCTTAACACACATTACTTGTTTGAGTAAGTCAAGTAGCTAAAGTACATATTTGGTAACTAGTTTATTGGTTCAAAAAAATTTTAAAAATGCTAATTTGTGTAAGGTTTGCAATTACTGATACAATATATATATATATATATATATATATATATATATATATATATATATATATATATAAACTTTTCCCAAATGCTCTTATACATAACAAATTTAACTGACTATTGGGGAGTCTTTGAATTTAAAACCTCCCCATTTTAAAATTTTTAAATGATTTATCTCATAAATTTTGTTGTTATATTTTTTATTAATTTAATTTTGATATATAGTTATTATTTCTTCATTATTATAAAGAAGATTTATTATTATTATTATTATTATTATTATTATTATTATTATTATTATTATTATTATTATTATTATTATTTTTATTATTGTACGTACACATATCCTTATAATAATTTGTTGAATGTTAATTGTTAATATTAAACAATTAATTTTATTAAAAATATCTCTATATATAACTAATAAAATATGCTTGTTAACATTTTTATTATCAAATAAGGCCTATAACTATAACTTAACATGCATGCATCATAGTATATTTCGGGGAAAAAAAAAACAAATTAAAAGCGGGGGAGGGCAATTTATTGTGTGGACCTTGAATGCAATATACATTTTTAATATATTAAAAGTATATTAATTTTTTTTACTGAATGTACATTATTTGATAATATATATAAAAAAAATTATATACTTTAAAATAATGTACTTTATATATATAAATAATGTACTTTTTATTTATGATTCACACAAATCTATGGAGTATGGTACATGGAATAATGCGAGTAGTTATGCTGTGCATCCGTATGCACCATGCATGGTGCATACAGATGCAAAAACGACGTCGTTTTATTAAAAACGCGCGTCTCCCCTTAAAAAAGAAAATTCAGGTTCGATTTCCAGCAACAACATTATGTTGTTCATTCATTCTGAAATTTTAGTTCATAGATTATGGAATTTTAGTTCATTGATTCTGGAATTATAGTTCATCGATTATGGAATTGTAGTTCATCGATTCTGAAATTTTAGTTCATAGATTCTGGAATTTTAGTTCATTCATTTTGGAATTTTTAGTTCATAGATTAGATTCTGGGATTATTGTTTATAGATTATGGAATTATAGTTCATCGATTCTGGAATTATAATTCATCAATTCTGGAATTTTAGTTCATATGTTGTTGCTGGGAATCGAACCTAAATTTTTTTTTAAGGGGAGACGCGCGTTTTTAATAAAACGACGTCGTTTTTGCATCCGTATGCACCATGCATGGTGCATACGGATGCACAACATAATTTGCCGAATAATGCAATAATTATTGTGTGGGCCATGGCCGACACAAGCTGTGTGGACCTTATTTTTTATACTGTAAAATAATGTACATTCAGTATAAAAATAATGTATATTGAGTACAAAAATAATGTACATTGTATTCAGGAGATATACTTTTTGTGTATTGAATGTATATTATACTGTATAATATACATTTAGTACAAAATTAATATACATTAAGTATATTAAAAATGTACTTTTTATTAGGATCCATACACTCTTGCCGGAATCATGATTGGCATGGGAGAGGTAACAAATTAAAAAGACATGTAAGCGCAATGAGGGCTTTTCCTTTCATATTGTGCATTTGGTTCAGCCCAATACTACCTTTTTGTTTCTTTCTTGAAGTTTCTTCAAACGCGGATAAAAAGGCAGGCAAAATAATGGAGATGCAGGGTATCGATCCCCGTACCTCTCGCATGCTAAGCGAGCGCTTTACCATCTAAGCTACATCCCCAACTTGTTTGAAATTAGGATTTATTGTTTATGGAGAATGTTCTGTTTCAAGTTAAAAAAAATTAAAACAAAAATGAAGATGTCTCGCATGCTAAGCGAGCGCTCTACCATCTGAGCTACATCCCCTTCCAGCTTGTTTTACTTCCAAATCTTATTTTAGTGAAACTTCTTCAAACGGGGATAAAATAAGAAAAGTGGAGATGCAGGATAATGATCTCAATACCTCTCGCATGCTAAGGGAGCACTCTATCATCTGAATTTATAAGTCTTAGCATGTGACATCATAGACTTTTTTTTTTTTTTTTTTTTTTGATAATTAAATCAAGTTTTCCGACTTTACTGAACTATATTCTGGATCCTATGAACACATGTTTTTGTAGCTAAAAGTAAGTTTTAATTGTCCGTTTTCATCCATTATATATTTATATCAATACATTGAGAGCGACGAATTATATATATTTTTTAATTTAAAGCAAGATGATAGGAAGTCCACATCATTATTGTAATGTTAGGTAGACTACAAAAACAAATATAAAAAATTGAAACGTGTATTATGACAACTGAAAAACGATAAATGTCATAAAATGTTGGGACTAGCTTATCTCAATGGCCTGATCGAGTTTTATTCGATCTATATATAAATTTATTTTGTTTCTAGTTTTCTAGAGAATTCTATTCGCAGGTCAATAGAAAAGTAAATTAAAGAGCATCACCCTAAGTATTACTCAGGACGTCATGTCAGAACACCCAAACAATCTTCTTGTAAAGGTTGAAATGCTCCGACCAAAGTTCCTTAACAACACACCATTGACTACTATATGTTGGTTAATGCCCACCTTTGCCACACAGTTAGCAACTTGGTTCTATTTACAGAACGGTAGACATGCTTGATTGTGAACTTCCCGTCTTTAATTTGCTAATCCACTCCTTGCACCTCTCAATAATGCTTCTAAGGGAGTCCCTAGGTAGTGAGGTATCCATTGTTATCAAATCCACAATTAATGATAAGTTATATTTTAATTTATGAAAAAGTTTGTAGTCATTATCTAAAAGTGTGCAGTGGGTAAAATTTACATTGTGATTCTAAACTTTTAGCTACTAACATATCACAAAAAAATAAACGAGTCTATGTTATCTATAGTCGTTGATCGGTTCAAAGAAAAATAAAAAGGTTAAAAACTGTCACTTATAAAATCCTATGGAATAATTAGTAAGACTTGGTATCTCGGCAAATTATATTATGTACCGCGCGTCTTTTTTTTTAAATGAAAATTAACAGTGTTTATTTCCGCCGTTTCGCACCCTTTTGCAAAAAGTAACTCTGTTATTCAGTGTCATTTTGTATACACTGCAGTTTCAGTTGAACACAACTACAGTTTCATTTCGATATAACTATAGTTTCATTCGATATTTATAGACTCAAATATGTGAAAATGTTATTTAATTTTATTTTATATACACTATAGTTTTATTAAAACACAACTACATGATCATTTTGATATAATTACAGTTTCATTGTATAATATACACTCAAATATGTGAAATGTTATTCAGTTTCAGTTTATATACACTGCAGTTTCATTTCATTATAACTACAGTATCATTTTGATATAACTGCAGTGTCGGTTTGGATATACTGTAGTGTCAGTTGGTGTTTAATACACCAAACAAACGGACTCCGTTAACTCTAACGGCGGGCTGTTTCTTTACTTAAAGAAACGGCGCCGTATATGAGCTGCGGTGCGTAATCGATTATGCACCGCGGTCTATAATATAACAACTGTGGTATCTAGTTGTCACCATATAAATTTAATTTTTTATTTTTTAACTGTAAACTGGGCCCAAAGCTTGGGTCCAATGAATTAAAACAATGAATAAAATTAACCCTCATCAGTCATCAACGTGCAGACCCTCAGATTCCAAACCACTGTCAACATTTGGCCGTCCAGAGGCGCAGCATACTAGGACCGGTGGCGCTGCGCAAGAAAAGAAAACGAGACCAGAGGCGCTGGTTTGTAAAAAACGGTAGGTTGTGATGATTTTTCGTTTCGATTTCGTTATACTGCTTCTTTTTTTTTTTTTTTTTTTTTTTTTTTTTTTTTTTTTTTTTTTTTTTTTTTTTTGTAAAAAAAATTGAGATTTCAAAAAAAATAAAATAGATATATACAAACTGGAACACACAGATTGATAGATACAAACAAATTGATCCAGTTTGATATATATATATATATATATATATATATATATATATATATATATATATATATACAAGATTGTTTTTTTTTTTAGAAAAAAATATGTATACAGCATGAAATTTGTTATTTATTTTCGGAAGATAGATGAGCAATGTTCAAGGAGTATACAATTTTTTTAAAGAAATTATATTTGCCGAAATAGTAGTATAGGAGAGAAAAAAATGTGTACAGACTACAGAGTAATGAATATCATAGTGAGAAATAAGAATATGATCCATATTTTGCAAAAAAAAAAAAAAAAAAAACAAAACAAAAAAAACTAATCATCAGAAATTTTGCATTTTATAACAAAATGGTAATGAATATAGCACTACAGATATTCATACCCAGATACTGAAGCAAAGCATGGATAAGATGGTTTAATGTGTTGTAATTGGTATGCCCGTTGGCCTTTAGCTCTTAACCGGTGAGTTATAGGACTGAATCAACAATATAAAAGTAAATGTAGAACAATAGATAGGGAAGAAGGGAGATACATGATTTCATTTCATCAGCATCATCTTACAAAATGGATTACACACATATATAATATAGAATAATAATGACATACATAATGAGACATTAATATGTTTGTTACAAACGTTGCAAAATAATGATCACCATTAATATTTACCATAATTCTCAGTTAATTGAATAATAGATGGTTTAGTTGTCATGCAATTATCTTTAAAAATTTAATATTGTAATATGATTTAGGCAATTATAGTACGGAGTAATACTAAAATAAATATGAAAAAAAAAGGAGAAATAATTTAAAAAGGCATTAAGCTATGAAAAAAATTGAAATCAAACTCTATTTTAATGTTGTTTTAAATCACCTGATTGATTGCAATTCTCTTTGAATTTTGGAAATGTAATATAATTTAGGTAATTATATTTATGAATTTATGATAGTCGTTTATAAAGCATCACAAGTCAAGATGAAATTAAATATTTACCATTATATATCTTTGCACAACACATTTGAATTATCAACACAACAGGTTCAGGGTCTAAGTGGTTCACAAGTGAGAGCATTAAATCAACATATTTGTCCCAAAAAATACACTTTAAAGATTTATCTATGTATAGAGTCCAATAAAGCATAGTCATTTTGAAAGTAATAAGATAGAAAAGTAATAAAATTATAATATGAATAATTACTATTTAAACTTAGACGTACTTATGATCTTAAATAACAATCTCCATAAATCTTTTTTCTTGGTCACTAATTAATATAGTCATTGTAGTGCAAGGTGATTGGGCCTGAGGTTGTGTGTAGATAAGCGATCCACTAGGACCAGTAAGTTCGGGCCGGACTAATTTCAATTGTTTTTGGGGGGTATGTGGCAAATTCTACGGAGTTTATCAGATTTTACTTCTTCTCCGACATCGCCGCCTTCAGGCGGCTTCAACTCGCCGTCCTCCGCCGTAGGTCAGCCGTCTTTTTCTTCTTACTTTCAGTTGAAATATCTTTTGTTAACCAAAAAAAAAAATTCTACTGTGTTTGCTTATAGCTCTTCACCTCCTTTTAGAAGAACAAAGCAAATACTGTCATCTGTCTTCTTAATTTGTTACATTTCAATTTTGCTCTTTCAGTTATTTATACGTTAGTTTACAGCAAAAGATATCTGTTTTGTTTTCGTTTTAAAATAGATTTTCACTTCACTTTGTTTTTGCAGTCTGATATTAGAACTTTTTAATATGTATGTGTTGCTTTTACCTCTTCATAGGCGAATTTCTATGTATTAGGAAGATCTTCAGCTAATGTAAAATCTGAGGGACTAAGCAATGCTATTTCGAGAAGATGGTACCTATTAGGAAACTGAGCCACCTGAGTGCAAAATTCGCTTTTGGTTCACTTAGTTTGGTTCTTGGTAATTCTAGTGGTAAACTTTATGGATGCCAGAATCATGGTGATTGGCAATTAAAGCTTGTTAATCGGTTAGTTGGGTTGTCATTAATCAACGTAAATAAACAGCATAATGTGGTTAAGTTTCAGCATTTGTTATCTCAAAACTTGCAATCCTTTTCGACTATGGGTGGGACTATCCTTGTCCAGGCTCAAGACCTTGGTAAAATGAGTGAGGAGTTAGAACGTGCAATTGATGAACGTAGGTTTGTTGATTCTTGGGAGTTGCTGGAAAGACATATCTGGATGGCTGGGTTTCCTAGAAAATCAATTCTGAACAAACTTCTAGCAGCCTGCGTGGAGAGTTTAGAAGTTGAATGGCTTGAGAAGGCTCATGGCTTGGTTGAGCAAATCTTTGAGGAGGACAAGAATAGTTTATTGGAGAAAGAGAGTTTGTTGTACCTTGCTTTGGGACTTTCGAAGTGTGGATTGCCTATTCCAGCATCTACTCTGGTCAGGAAGCTTGTTGAGATGGAGCATTTTCCACCAGTGGGTGCCTGGTCTGCAATCATTGGTTATATGTCACAAACTGCTGCTGGAGCTTATCTTGCGGTTGAACTGGTTCTTGAAATAGGTTATTTGTTTCAAGATGGGAGAGTTGACCCTCGTAAAAAGATTAATGCACCTCTGATTGCTATGAAGCCTAATATTACTTCATTTAACATAGCGGTAGCTGGATGTCTTCTTTTTGGCACAACCAGAAAAGCGGAGCAGCTTCTTGACATGATGCCTCGAATCAATGTGAAAGCTGACACAACCTTATTGATTATCATGGCTCATATTTATGAGAAAAATGGACGGTTGGATGAGCTAAAGAAGCTCAAGCGACACATTGATGAGGCGCATAACCTAACTGATATCCAGTTTCGACAGTTCTATAATTGTCTACTTGCATGTCATTTGAGTTTTGGAGATCTTGAATCTGCATCCCACATGGTCCTAGAAATGCTTCGCAAGGCAAAGAGAGCTCAAAATTCTCTTGGTGTGGCTTCTTTATTGTTTGACAGCTCTAAAAGTTGCAGGAATTCATCAAACCCTATGCATGTATCTGGGGGAGATTTAACTAATGGAAATCGAGACAAATCAGAAAAGATCTTATCTTATCAAGATTTCTGTAGAGACAGGAGGTTTTTAAAACTTCAGGCTGACACGGAAGAATTACTTGATTTGTTGGTGGTCAAGTTGCAAAACCAAAAAGAATTGATAACTAGTGAGCGTGGAATTCTCCAGCCAACAGAAACAATATATGTGAAATTAGTAAAGGCTTTCCTCGATGCTGGCAGGATTCAGGATCTGGTGAACTTCCTAATCAAGGCTGAGAAAGAAGATTCCCCAGTTTCAGTTGACAATTCAGTCTTGGTTCAAGTGATCAACTCGTGCATTTCACTTGGGTGGTTAGATCAGGCTCATGATCTTCTTGATGAAATGCGCTTGGCCGGTGTTAAGACTGGTTCTTCAGTTTATTCTTCTCTTCTGAAAGCATACTGCAAAGAAAAAAAGACAGGAGAGGTTTCATCACTGCTTCGAGATGCTCGTAGAGCTGGGGTCCAACTAGATGCAAGCTGTTATGACGTACTGATTGAATCACAGGTGCTTCAAAAAGATACTCAATCAGCCCTTCAATTGTTCAGGGAGATGAAAGAAGCTAAAATTCCAAGAACTGGTCATCAAGAATTTGAGAGTTTGGTTAAAGGATGTGCAGATGGTGGCGAAGCCGGTTTAATGTCAAAGCTCTTGCAGGAAATAAAGGAAGGGCAAAAAGTAGATTATGGAGTTCATGACTGGAATAATGTCATTCATTTTTTCTGCAAAAAGAGGCTGATGCAAGATGCTGAAAAGGCTGTTAAGAAAATGAGGAGTTTGGGGCATGCGCCAAATGCACAAACATTTCATTCGTTGGTTACTGGCTATGCTTCTATTGGTGGACAATATGTGGAGGTCGCTGAATTATGGGGCCAAATGAAATCAATTGCTCATTCCAGTGGAATGAAGTTTGATCAGGAGCTGTTGGACGCGGTGCTTTATACATTCGTGAGAGGTGGGTTCTTCACACGAGCGAATGAAGTTGTGGAGTTGATGGAGAAAGATAACATGTTTATCGATATGTACAAGTATCGTGCACTATTCTTGAAGTACCATAAAACACTCTACAAAGGCAAGGCTCCAAAATTCCAAACAGAATCCCAGCTAAAAAAACGAGAAGCCGCTTTGGCTTTTAAGAGATGGGTGGGTCTACATTGAAGAAGCAATTCTTTCGTGAATTTCAGAACCCTGGTCACGATTCTTACATTCTTCAGGGATTATCAAGTGAAAAATCCTATACCCAGCCATGAGAGGAGTAAGAAGATTTCTGTTATCAGATCACCAAGTGGTTATCAGATGTCTTCATCAGTAGAGTGGCATTTATGATGGCACTGCAATCTCTCCTTCTCAAAGCTCGAAAGATGAAGAATTTAGCAAGGTTCCCTTCAACCTTTTGAATAATTGCTTGTTATATAATTTCTAGAATTATTGACATTTATTTTCCTGTATATGTTCATCTTTATGGAACTAGTATAGTACTATGCCCTTTTTTAGGGCGATGGTAGCTGCTATCTAACAGTTTTCCTGTTGTTCTTCTATAAACTGAGACAGAACTTATGCAAGATCATTGCCAGTGTTAGTGAACATCAGCCACCTACATGGCCCTCTTACTTTATGGACATAAACGTATTGGCATTTTTGGTTCCTGCTGGTATTGTTGTAAGTATGCATATATATACTTAGCTCAATTTTAATTAAGAATGTATCAACCTTGTTTTTTAAAATCATTTTTTCCTTTATTGCTCTTTTCTTCCTCAGTAATTTGTTTTTCAACTTGCAGGCATGTTTTTTTGCCACTTTTGTGGTTCTTTATCTTGTAACATCAGTATATTTTTATGGTGTCATGGTAAGGATGATAGAAGAAGTGGTTCTTTAATTATGTCATATTTAAGCTCAATATTCATGTTTTATTTTCTCTGCTGAAAGTACAGGTCCATCTAATGCTTGTTACTTGCTCCAGCAGCATGCATTATGTCTGGAATTGCTCTTTCCCAAGCTTTTGATGTTTTGACTCGATCAATCAAATTCCCTTCACCTAATAATGCATCAGAATATCCACAAATCAATGTACGCATTCCATATCATGGTTATGTGATTTTTCAATTATATTTAGATTATGATGAATTAGGCTCATGGACTGTCCTTGCCTTCTTGCTGACTATCAAGGCAGGGGATGCCACCAATGCTGACTCGAAGAGTGATGTAGTGAAGGCCGTTCTGAATGGGTAGATTGTGTATCAAGTTATATACAATAGGTATGCTTTTGAACATTTAGATTTGGTGATTGAAATTGTTCATTGAAGTATTTAGATTTGGTGATTAGTTCTTGTGTATTTTGTACATTGTGAACATTGTGTATCTAGATTTGGTGATGGTGTTTGGATAACATTTAGACTTGGTGATTGGAATTGTTTATTGGAGTATTTAGAATTGGTGATTAGTTCTTGTGTATTTTGAACATTGTGTATGAGTGTATCTAGACTTGGTGATGGTGTTTGGATAAATTGTTTTTATTATATGATTATGCTTAAAATCTAAACAGGTTAAAAACAACGGTTTAAAATCGTTGTCTTTGATATATAAGACAACGGTTAAAATCGTTGTCTATGCTTGAAATTATCGAGAATACAGGTTTTGACAACAAACAATAGACAATGGTTAAAAATCATTGTCTTATATACCAACGACACTGGTTTTAACAACAGAAATTTTACCCTACAACAACGGTTATAAACTGTTGTATATGTGCATTTTTCTTGTAGTGCATAAAGCAATTTGATCATCTAATCTTGCCAGTTAGATTGACTACTAGATTATGCAAATGAATACAATCCTAAGAATAACTATGTATATATATAACTCATTCTCACACTTCAGTTAGATTAATTACATACTAGATTATTTCTAATTTAAAGGACATAACATACTATAAAATACACAAACCCATAGCTTAACATCATTAACAACGATAACGATAAATGATTCATCAATACAAGTAATAAGCAACGAAAAGATAAGGAGCAAGGTGAAATGGATTGAAACACTTAACTGGTCGTTTGGTTGGGAGTAAGAAATTATGGTGGAAAGGAATTGCAATTCGGTGAAAAAAGAATAAGGTGGGAATAAAGTAGGAATTCCAATTACATTGTTTGGTAGGAATGAATAGAATTATTGGGTAGGGAATGAAAGAAGTGATATAAAGACTAAAATGTCCTTGTTTAATAATAATAGTAGTAATAATTAAGGGTACTTTTGTCATTTCATCCCTTTTTCTTTTTCCCACAACTACCGAATTGCAATTCATAGGGGGGTACCCATGAATTGCAATTCAGCAAAAGGAGAGAATTGCAATTCTGTGGAATTGCAATTCCGTCCAACCTAACGGCGTAATTGTGGCTTCCACTGAATTGCTATTCAACTATAGCCAAATTACGCACAACACTTGTTTATAGTTTAACCAAAATTAAACAAATATTGTCCTACCAGTTAGATTTGGTTGGTAAGAGTATTTTAATTAAATGAGCCATGCAACTGAATCCAAAGTCCAATAATGGGAAACCAAACATATATACACAGGGACGGAGCCAGGAATTCCGTTAGGGGGTGAAAAAGTAGGGACAGATCCAAAATTTTTTTTCAGTGAAGGCGAAACTATCTAAGAAATATAGGTATAAATATTGTTGGATATGAGCAAAAATAAAAACTCATCTAAACTTTATAAAACTATTCATAACAAAATATGAAACATAATTAATTTGATAAAATAATTTGAATAAAATTAAAAACACATTATAAATTACACATCTCAAAAAATATATGTATAAATATTATTGGATATGAGGAAATAATAAAACTCATTGAATCCCCAACCCTAAAAAAGGAGAAGACTCAGTCCAATGGACCAGAAGGGGTTTGGTGAGCCAATAAAAATTCTATTCTAATATTATAAAATTGTGTAATACTATTCATATTCTAATCTATATCTATACTCAACCTCCTCCGCGGGCGCCTCGCGGGCTGAACCGGCAATTAATTTTTTTTTTTTTTATTAAGTTGTAAAGTGTCAAAAGTTCGGCAAGGCATAACTTTTGACTCGGTTGTCCGTTTTGGACAAATGTTTTTTTGAAATCGCGTATTTTTTCGAGATCTATCCACAGCAAACTGTCGTAGGCGGTTTGACCCACCAATTCCTAAAAAAAATGCTTTATTAAATAGTTTCTAAGAAAAAACTATGAGAACCTTATGTTTTATTAATGAATTTTTAAAATTTTTAATTAAAAAATTGTCACGTGCATTATTTAATAATCTCTCTTTATAATTGGTGAAATTATTCAATTATTGTAAATTAGGGAATAATTAATGATGGTAATAGAAATCCTAGAATAATATAGAATTGAAGAATATTTAATTATTGTTATATTATTATTGTGCCTCACGGTCATTATATACTAACAGAACTTGAAAAGAAACTAATAATAATATAATAATAATAATCTAAGTAGTAATAATAATATCTAAAAGTAATTAAGTGTTAATAATAATAGTAAGAATATTAACGTAAGAATTATAACATAGAATAAATCGTAATAATTAATAGCTATAGTCTAGGATTAAATTTAGAATTGTCAGAAAAGATAAGCGACCTCTGGTGAAATTAACTCTTAAATAATTATATATCAATTTAAATATTCTTAATATATTACAACAATTTCATTCCGTACATCGCACGGGTGAAAATACTAGTGATTGTAATACTCACAACATTAGGAAGCCTAGAACCCAAACTTTGAAGTAAAACAAAACACAACAAATTATTATCACGCTGTGAATGATGCAAAACAAAGAAGAGAGAGAGGAATCTAAGTCGCTTGTCGTCAATCGTTGTCAATCGCCGGAGCTAGTGTCGCTTGGTAGTTACCACCAAAAATATTATAAAGATATGTGTCCTAAGAAACAAGCTAGAAATTTGAGATTTAAGAAACTTAGGCCTGTTTAGTAACAGGAAATTTTCTCTAATTTTTTAAAAAATTAATAATTGAAGAATAGAAAACAGAAAACAGAAAACATGTTTACTAGTACAAAATAATTTTTCACTCTTAAAAACTGTTTTCTAAATGGAAAACAGAATAATATATTATCTATTTGGTTATATGTCACTATAATCACATTACTATGATTACATTCATTATCATCTTTTTTTACTTATCACCATCTTCTATCTTTTCTACTCACTTTACTTATTTAAACATAACTTATTTGCTTACACTTTAAATTTAGACATTATTTACATTATCAAAATTAATTATTTACATTATCAAAATTAAGAATTGTACTCTATACAATGTTTTAGATTTTGATTGAACCCAATAGATTATTATTTCGAATATTTTTAGTTATGTTTTATCGTAATACAAATTCGCTCCGGATATCGGATATTGAAATCTCACATATATTAGAATTCAAAGTAAAAATTATATATTCATATACACCATTCATAAATGAATATATAAAAAATAATAATTTATATATTAGCTCAAAAATCATTAATATTATCTAAACTAAATTTTAGGTGAACTTAGTAGGCAATCGTTATGCGTTGGACCCGTGTCCAGCATGCTTGCTGGACACGGGTAACAGTGCCGTTAGGCACTGTTATCTCCTTTTTTTTTCTTTTTTTTTTATAAAATTTCAGACCGCTTCATTGTAAGAGTATATGTTCATAATTTTATTACTATATGTTAATAACTATACATTCATAACTCCATAACTGTACGTTCATAACTCTATAACTGTACATTCATAACTCCATAACTGTACATTCATAACTCCATAACTGTACATTCATAACTCCATAATTGTACATTCATAATTTTCGGAGCTCTATGTTCACAATTTTAGAGCTCTATGTTCATAATTTTATCACTATATGTTCATAATGTTAGAGCTCTTTGTTCATAATTCGATCAATAACTGTACATTCATAATTCCATACTGTAGATTCATAATCTCATAACTGTAGATTCATAACTCCATAACTGTAGATTCATAACTCTATAACTGTACATTCATAACTCCATAACTGTACATTCATAATCTTCGAAGCTCTATATTCACAATTTTAAAGCTCCATGGTCATAATTTTATCACTATATATGTTCATAATTGTAAGTTCATAATGTTAGAGCTCTGTGTTCATAATTTCATAATTGCATAACTGTATATTCATAACGGCATAACTGTACATTCATAACGGCATAACTGTACATTCATAATCCAAAAAAAAATAACGCCGTTAACGGCAAAACGCGCGCGATTTTTTTTTTTTTTTTTTTAACTAAATGAGGGGTTTTTTTTTTTTTTTTTTTTTTAAAAAACGACGTCGTTTTGGGCCCGTGTCCACAATTCAATGTGGACACCGGTCCAGGGCATAATTTGCCCTTAGTAGGTTATTGGTTCAGATATATTTTTTAGTTTTTATGTAAAAATCCTACGTAAATTAGACTTAAAAGTAAAAAAAAAAATTAAATTTATTATATTTAAACCAAACATATGTAAAAATATTTTAAATGTAAGATCTAAAAATCACTCGAAATTAAACTTGTGTTAATTTTATAACGTTAATCTAAAAAATTAAATTTGAAAAAACAAATGTTAGTAAACAAGTTTTCTAAACATAAAATAGAGAATGGAAAATAGAGGATGAAAACTGAAAAGTTAAAAAATAGAGAACAGTTTTCTGTTAGTAAACGGACAGAATTCAAGAAATAAGAAAACAAGATGTGTGGTGAATGACATATGAAGATAAAGAAAATACAAGAATCACTAGATTAATGTGCAAGAAACACAAAAGATATGCAAGAACACAACAAAAAAACAAAAAACAAAAAACAAAAAACAAAAAACAAACAAAAAAAAAAACCAAAAAAAAACAAAAAATAAAAAACAAAAAAAAACAAAAAACAAAAAACAAAAAAAAAACAAAAAACAAAAAACAAAAAAAAAAAAAACAAAAAACAAAAAACAAAAAACAAAAAGAAAACCAAAAAAAAAAAAAAAAACAAAAACAAAAACAAAAACAAAAACACAAACACAAGAACAAAACCTAAACTTGGATATCAAATTGATATGAACCTTGTCATGAGAATCCGTTCAAGTAATTATTGCCCAAGATGTTCTCAAATTCAATGTAAAGAGTTACCTTAGGTGCACACGAGAAGACCTGTTGAAAGTTATGTAAAAAGTGGTAAGGGAATGAAGGGATGTTGTCTTCCAGGAGTGGACCAAAGTGGAATTAAATAGTGAGTGGTTAAGCAACATAGAGTGTTTGGAACCTAACTCAAAGAGAGAGATATGATTCATGTGAGTACAGAAAAATCAACGAAATCAACAATCAAATTGACAAGCAAATAGAAAAGGCAGGACT